CTTCCAGCTCCGACTTCTAGGAAACTTCCCACCGGGACAGGGACCAGAGCAGCGACTGGGCCAGACGAGGGAGGTGGGAGTGAGCGGGGGAAGGCAGCCAAAGGCAGGCTGGGCTGCCCCATCGGCTTCAGTCATCCCCATCCTGGCGCCAAGGGCTGTCCAGGACGGGGATTATGTCACCTACTGGCCTCAGCCTGGATACCCGAGGGCTGGCAGGGACAAGCTGGGGGGCTGGAGGTGCTCCGACCTGCCCAGAGGAAGCCCCGAGTTTGGAAACCTCAGCACGGGCTGCGGAGAAGAGGGGGGAGAGGCTGAGATGCTCGCAGCCTCGCATCCACCCTGCACGCAGCATCCGGAAGCTATTAAGGAATTACAGCCTCGCTGGCCCCGAGCCTTCCCCGGCAGAAGTGCCTGGGAGCAGATGGTGAAAGGGCTGATTGAATTCGGCTGCTCGGGCCAAGAGGCTATTAGGAGGAGCCGCAAATGGAGAAGGGGGTGGGGGTGTCATTCGGCTACTCAGGAGCCGGGAGCTGGTGTCAGGAACTCCGGGAATCCTCTGAAACAAGCCCTGGGGTGCTGCAGCAGGGACCGGGCTGGGTGGCTCAGGGGAGCGACATCCCCGCTGCCCTCAGCCCCAGGATGCTCAGAGGCTGGGGTGAAACCAGTAAGGGTACAGGGAGCAGGAGCCACGGGCTGGTTCCTGCCTGCAGGCATCTCCAAAGGCAGCAGGGACGCCGGCACAGTCCCTGAGGTCGCAGCCTCCCGAGCCTCGAGGCAGGGAGAGGAGGAGGATGAGGCACCCAGAGCTGTCAGCTCGGCAGCCCTGCCCTCCCACGGGGCCAGCAAAACGCAGGTTTGCAGAGCTCCTTGCTTACCGACCTGCTCTCATCCCAGCCCATCCCCAGAGGCAGTGGGAAGGCACTGGGCAGACCTCCCAAAGTGCCTTTCAGAAGGGGATGGGACTCAAGGGACACTCGATGGGGAGGAGGTGGGGGGAAATGGCCAGGGTGAGAGAGACGTAGTATCAAAAGAAAAAAAGAAAAAGGAAAAAAAAAAGGCTAAAAAGCATAAATATGGTTCATAAGTTGCCCACGGTGCCTAAGGCTGGTGCCCGACAGGCAGCTAGCAAACACTGATGGAAGAACCAAAATCGCCTGGAGGCGAAGGAAGGGTTTTAAAAACCCTGGGAAGTGGGGGAAGTAAAAGTTTGAATGACCCAAAAAGCAACACAAAGCCCGGCTCTGGGCTCCCTGCCCTGGCAAGCCAGCTCTACATCCCCGCACCCCCGTGTCCCGGGGGGGGGGACGGGCACCGGCTGCACGGCCCCGCTGTGTCCGAGCCCCCCTCTCCTTTCCGAGGAGCAACTCCCACCAAGTGCCCCAGGCTGCCTTGGCTCGCTCCCCAAGGTTGGGAAATCGCAATCCTCGTCAGGGCTCTGACGAAGGCGCGGGCATGGAGCACTCCGTGACCGTAAGGGGATCTTTTCGGAGCAATCTTTTCCGAGACAAGTCATGAGATTGTTTCTTGCCTGGAATTCGCTCCCGCGGCTCCCATCGGCCCCGGACTGCTGAGTCAAGAGACCGCCGGGCTGTGCCCTCCAGATGAGTAAATAAATTGCCACGGGGAGTGGCGGGGCGGCAGCGGGATGAAAGGAGGGAGGGGACGGCTGCGATGACTCCTCGGGCCCCGCGCACGCATTCGGCGGGACCCGGCCGGGCTTGGCCGCGGGCTGTGCGGGGAATTAGTCACCGGGTTAGCGAGCGCAGCTACACGCGCTGGCGCGCAGCTGTTTAAAGGCACACTATCCCTCCCCTGCGCTTTTCTTCTTTTTCTGGATCTTTTTTTTTCCAACTTCCCTTTCTAATTTATTTTTTTTTTAGGCTTTCAACGAACGCTTGGGACTGGCAGCCCAAGCACACCCAAAGCACGCCTGCAGATGCCAAGGGGCGCGGGCTTGGTGCTGGTGCAGCCCTGGCACCAGCAGCCCCTGCCAGCCCTGTCCCTCCGAGCCCTGTTGACGTAACCTACTCCTCCGCTGGTTACGCCAGGTCACTCTATAGGATCCATATGGCAGCGGCTGCTCGGGGTTCAGCCGTTTGAACGCAGGAACATGCAAGAGTCATCCAGCTTGAAGGCAAAACACACGCACGGCCGGGGCCTTTCAAGTCGCGAGCTTTAGAGCCAGCTCCAAATCTGGAGCCGCTTAAAGGGATGGAAAACAGCGCCAGTGACTAAGTACCCTGCTGGGCTACGGCTACCGTGACAGCCCCGAAACCCCACTGCTGACGTTGGAAATCGAAACTTTCCCAGCACCGCGGCACCAGGCGCGCGCGGCTTCGTGGTGGCACCGCGCTTCCCAGAACCGGGGACGGGACCGCGACGGCGAGCCCGGATCTCACCGCTTCCCTTCACGGGCAGGGCTCTGAGAAATGCCACCGCATCTGCCCGATGAGAATGGAGCAGGTGACTTTTTCTCCTGCTCTGGCTCCAAGCTGGGTAACATTTACTGGACCCCACTGAGCTGTTTGGAGGGACGCAGGGATGGGTAATGAGCCTTGAGCAGTTTAAAAGAGAAAGCACTTGGCACTGCGCTGGAAAACTGCTTCTAACAATGATGTGTAAAAAAAGCCTGAACTTCACGTGTTCCGCTACAGCTTTTTTTAATTTTTTTCAGCGGAAAAAGCCAGGAGTGCTCAGCTTTTGCAAGTTGTTTCTTATGACGGTTCAGGTTTCGGTAAACAATTTCTCAAAGCTAAAAGGTAAAAAAAAGAAAAAAAAAAAAAAAAAAAAAAAAGCCTTGCTGTTCTACAGCTTCCAGAACATTGACCAAAACAGAGTGGTTTTGCACAAACACATGCAGACACCTATGAAAAAAAAAAAAAAAAAAGAGAAAAAACTTTCATGTGGGTCAAAAAGCCACATTTTGATTACTGTGATAGATGGTGCTAACAGGAAAGAAAAGAAAGCAACACAAAACAAACCCCAAAGCACTTCCCAGTGTCCGGCTCCAGTTTCTGGGGCAGCTTTCCCTTAGTCAGCACTTTTCATCCACAGACCTCCCTCCAGAGGCAGCATCCTCACCTCCGGGAGCGCAAATCCCAGCCCGGTGCCACCACGAGGACACACAGCCCTCATCCTGCTGTGCGGGACTCTTGCTTCCCAGGGGGAACCAGAAAACCTACACATGGAAAGCAGGGGGAGACCGGGAGCGTGCAGCAGGGGATGTCCCCATGCCCTTGCTGCAGCATAATGGTGGCACCGTGCCTCAGTTTCCCCTAAAAAATAGGTCTCTGAGCCCTTCTCCTTGACATCCTCTGGTGTCAGACGACAGAATCAGTTCCCCTGAGGTTTTGGGGCTGAGCACCCCATGCATGGTGCACATGAACACACGGCAAAGCCCCACTGGCTTGTTCCTCTTGCAGCCATCTGAAGAATGCCCTGGAACCACGTCAAATATTTTAAATGAGATGGGGGGAGAGGGGGCACTGGCAGGGGAGGGAGCGGGGAGCCGCTCGGCTTTTGACTCAGTGTCTGGCTTCTTTCATCAAACCCACATTCCTAATCATGCCATCACCCTCCGGGAAAGTGCGACAACATACATAATCCATGTGGAGCCAATTTAAAATCCCCTCCATGTAAGAAAACGCGTTTCATTCATTAACAAGCTCTGAATGCTTAGCTGGGGCGAGGAGCTGGCCTGCAGCTCCGCAGCCATCCCAGCAAGAGGGAGGCGTTCCTACACCGCTCTGGGGCAGGGCCACATCCTCCAGGGGACCAGTCCCATGCTACAAACCCACCCAGGGTGCAGGGCTCGGCGCACCGCAGGCACTTGTCGCAGCCCGAGTTGTGCCGTGAGTGCATGCACCGACCACCTGAGATGGATGGAGGGCTCTGCTTTTCCCGTAAGGCCAGGAGAAGTCGAACACCTGGAGCAGGGGACGGCTGCTCCATCCTCGTTTGGAGCTGACTTGTTCCTGCAGAGAAGCTGCTGCCCTGCTACATCAAGCACCTCAAGCAAAAGGTGCAGCCTCTCGATCTATAATTAAGCTGAAGAGGTGTTTCAGAGGGGATTGTGGAAGCTCCCAACATCCAGTGAGGACAGTTTCCTAACGTAGCACACAGCGATCATGGGTCAAAACTAGAGACTCCAACCACCCGCGATGCAGCTCCCCGTGCACAGGAGGTCTCCAAAATCCTCTAAAGACCCACAACAGTGGTATCCCAGAGAGAACCACAGAAACAAGGGGGTTTCCTTTCTAGGAAGGAAAGCTGCTATCTATTCCTCGTGTTTGCACGCGACTGAGATCTAGGAGGGTATTTTTCAGGCCAAGGTTTTGCTCCACAGGACCCAGATGCAAGACTGCACAGCACAGCAGCCCGGCTTCTTGCAGATATACAGCAAAGCTGGCACGCAGTGCTTGGAGCTGGGCGCTGAACGGAGGGTGCCGGGCATCGCCCGCGATTCGAGACATGCCCCAAAGCTGTGCAAGATCAGCGAGATCGGGGAGGTGATGGGGAAAACCGTATCGTGCAAACATGGCCCTGCACAGGCAGACGTCGTCAGTGACTTGATGCCATTCATGTCACCAAGACCAAACCAAACCTTATATATTTGCCGGTTGAGTGGCAAAAAAAATTAAAAAAAAACAAAACAAAAAAAAAAACAACACCAAAGATGTGCAGTTTCACCTCACAGTTCAGAAAGAGGCGAGCAACGGTGAGCAGCCCTGGGTTTGCTCCCCAGCTAAATAAGCCAGAAGTTACTGAGCCACCCACCACAAGAGAACAGAATAACTCTGAGCACTTCTGAACGCAAGCACCGCGAGTTTTGCTGCCCTCTGAACACTCGCAGCCTTGCAGAAGCTCAGGTTTTGCATGCAAACTTTTGCAGTCTCTTAATGTTAGGCACATGCTTTCAGACCCAGCAGGTCTCTACAGTCTAGATATGAAGGCTGAGCCTTTTAACCAAATTACTAACTGAAACCACCCTGATTTGTTTGTTTTTTTTCATTTTTATTTTTTGCCATCTCTCTGGACCAGACATTGAACTACGGATCGCCTCTGGACAGGAGTCACTCCCTTATTCAAGGAGATGTTCAGGCAGATAAAGAGACTTGTAGATTTGCACATTTTCACATAATTACCACCAGAGCCTGCAGCAGTCACGGGTACAAATCCTGCAACCTGGGGCAGTCCGGACAGGCAGCTGAATGGAGCAGAGCTACAGGCTGAATGCCTGGAGACACAGAGCGGTACCAAAACCAGCCTGCGAGGATCCCCTTCGCATCCCCTTCGCATCCCAGCCCGCAGGAGAGCTGCTATCTCCGGAGCCATCTCACGGTTTTGTCATCAGGAGGAGCAAAAGTAAATTCCACAGAAACCCGGCACAGCCGCCGCAGCCCAAAAGAAGCCGCTTTGGGACTCAAGTGCTCTCCACCCCCCCAAATTCCACCGCACCTGGGAAAAATGTAGAAGCTTGTAGGAGAATCAATAAATATTTATTGTTTAACCAGCAGTATTTTGACTGGGGATGTAAGCATGGCCCGATGCCAGTGAAACCAGAGCCTTCTTGGCCAGCATTGCAAACAATTTTTTTTTTCTGTATCTAGTTGGGAGATTATAAACTACACAACGAAGGAAAAAAAAAAAAGAAGAAGAAACAAGGCAGTGAGCAGCTTAGTCACGGAAGAGGAACAAAAGAGCTGCGATGCATAACTATGTCGCGGGTTAAAAAAAAAAAAGAAGGGACACAGGCCCAATTTTTGGCTGCCAGACAGCTGTACAGTTTGTATCAGCTACAGCGCTGAGGCTTTACGCTGGATCAGAGCATATATCCCTGGCTTCAGCAGAGCAAAGCTGATTTGGACAAGCTGCAAACTGGCCCGTAACTCCCAGCCGACAAGTGAATCTGGGGAAGACAGATCTCAGTCGGTCCCCACTGTTCCTGTCGGGATCCCCAGCTTCACAGTGCCATGGTCAGCCCCTGCTCCCAGGGGAATCTTCGCCTTCAAGCAAAGCTGAGCATCCCTCCCGTCTTCACTTCAGTTGGTGCCCTGGCACCACCCTACCAAGCTCAGGTCTTCCCCTGCAGCAAAATGCATAAGCCTGTAGGATGCCAGCAGCTCGATCCTTTCAGTTCATCCCAGGGATAGCAGTGACACTTGCTGTCCTAAATCTATCCTAGATAAGGTTTGCTCACCTTAATACAGCTCAGGTGCCCATGCAGGTACCAGCTGATGGTGTGGAGAGGAAAAGACTCTCTTTAATTGCCTGAGACAAATCCACATGGATTTGTTCCTTTCTTCCCCCAAATCCCGACTGAAGTACTACAACTGAAAGCAGTCACTCGGCGTGACAGCCCTGCCTGCTTACACCCCAACACCAGATTCAGACAAATCTGCTCTGACTCACACCTACCTCTGCCCTGAGAGGTAGCACCTGAGATGCATCTGAGTCTCTGAGACACGTCTGCTCCCACCACAACAGCACAGGAGGACACCAAGCCGCCTTCCATCTCACCTCCAGCATCAAGCTGGCATCTCCAGGTCTAACTGCAGCAATCCCTTCGGGATTTGGGGTAGCGGGACGGCAGGTAGCTTGCTCCTCAGCTCCCTTTGGAGAGCTTGCTCCTGCACAGGACTGTGTTATCCCTTCATTTTATAAGGCTTATCAAAGCATAGCACGCCATAATTACATGGCAAATTAGAGGCCACTTCGTGTAACTACACTGTAATTGCACAGTTGTTACATGCTTTGGGGAGTACACGATGAAAAAGAGGAAGGAATGGGGCTTTGCTCCTCTTTCTTGCAAATATCACTGCTCTCTGTACCGAAGCTAAGAACACCGCAGTCTGGGGCGTACTTCATGCCGTGGATCCCTGAAGGATGAAGGGTGAGAGAAGGCTGCACGGGGCATCATCAGCTGCCCCCTTTCCAGCTCTTTTCACAGCTTTGTTCCTTAAGTAGATGCAAGTTGACACTAAAAAAGCTGGCGAAAGACAGATGCAGTCTCCTCCCTCCTGGGAAACTGTTCCCCCATCCTAGCTGGATACCACAGTGATGGGCATTTTGTAAGTGCATAGGAAGATAATTGCTCTTTTTCAGCTCAAATTCTCACCTCCTCCACCGGCAATCAGCATCGAAAATACCACAGGAGCCAGAGGCCCTCAATTTATTAGAGTCTCCCTCTTGCCGGCTGAGGATTCATGCTGAACAATCCACAGCCGAAGAGGAGCTCTCACCTTTGCTGTCAATGCAGATGCAAAAACATTCAGAAAGACGCCGGATAAAATTCTGTGCTGCCCTGAAATCTCTTCACCCTTCAGCGTTTGCTTTCTCTGGGCTTTCCTGGGTTTCCAGGCAAAGCCTCTCTCAGTTTGCATGCACACTGCCCGTCCCAATGGGTGCAGGCAAGCAAATGCTCCTCCAGCACCAGTACGCAGAGGAGAGAGGGGTCAGAGGATAACTTGAAGCAGAGAGAGGCAACTGCTGGTTTTTTTTGGTGCTGGGTTTCACCTTGCATGCAAGAACGTGGCCATGCAAGCCACCAGGACCAGTCTCCAGACAGCAACAGGGAAACTGAGGCAGGCAGAAATAGGAGTAGTCCCTCGGATGGGTCACTGCTGCTGTGACCCTGTTCTGTGCACAGACTGCAGAGCAGAGGCGTGTTTGGGAAGCTGGGCTCTCCAGGACGCCATCCTAAGATGTGTAATGAAGACACATTCTGGCTTGTAAAGCACTTGGCTGTTTCCCTGCAGCAAGGCACAGCGCAGGTGGGCAGATGCTTGACAGAACATTTGCATTAAATACGAACTCCCTCATTTGTGTATGTTAAAAGTGAAAGCAAAGGACAAGAAGAAGAGATTGACCTGTCTACGGGAGGCTGTGTGATGCAGCAGGTCCTCCACCCAAATACACACTGCTCAGAGCCTGTCCACTTCCCTGCACCCTGCAGCAGGAGTTACCTTGCTTCAGCCCTGAGCTGACCACGTCCCAAACCCCAAAGAGAGGGAAGGGCTCCTGCCAGATAAAAACACACCCCTGGGATCCCACCCACACACAGGCGAATGGAAACAACGCGCCCATCTCCTGGCTGTCCTTGGGGTCCACATGGGAAGCACCAAAAGGGATGGACGGGGTCCTGCCGCCTCCCAGAGCTGGGATTTCGAGGCAGACCGAGTCCTGGTTTCACGCCAGCACCGAGCTGCACCTACAGGGGAAGGAAGCGAGAGGGGAGTGGATGCAGGAGAACGGAGCCCAGGATCTCTGCCTGCCATTGCAGCCCTCCTGCAGTACCTTGTGGGAAGCCCCGGGGCAGCAAGTCAGCAGCCTCATTAGCAAGAAATGCAGTTATCTCTCAGCACTTGGGAGTCCCAATTACACACTGCCAGCTTCCAGCGAGGGTTGCGGAGCTGCTTTTAACTCTGACCGCAGAGAACAAACAGAGCTCTGCAGAACTGGAGGAAACAAATTGATTTGCAGCAGGCAGCATTTACCAGTTGCAATGTTAAGTTCCCATTAGGGTTGATTTTTACCTGGTTTGGGTTCTGACTTCAGAGGATGAACTTTCAACTGTCTGTGATTAAAAAAAAAAAAAAGGCTGTAAACTAAATCCCACCAACCCACTGGTGGATCAGCCACATATTTGCAATCAAAACTGTGTTAGCATACGGTCCATCATACCATTACGAGGAAAACCCACACACACAGCCTGCACATTAAAGCAGGAGCCCACCACCGCGGGATTTGGGTTCCTGACCTACTCATCTTCCTCACACATTCTTGCTGGCAACAGCAGGGGAACTTGGCTTTGGAGCTTTGTAAAACTTCACATCCCCTTTAGGTTATTTTTAAGCCCTTTGGACACGCTGCAAACCTCGCTCCTACACACAGGGGCTGCCTGCACGTGCAGGCTTTTATTTCAAGGCACGGAGGGGACGTTGCAGTGCAGCCAACGCATCTCTGCAGTTTTACAGGGCATCAAGCACCTGGCACATGAAACATCTCGCACAATTGAAAACCTCTGCCTGGAACAATTCTCCCTGCCTAGGATTAACCCTATGGATGCTGTGGAGCAGATTCGCTGCCTTGCTGGCATGTAAGGAATGAGGGGCCAGACTCATTTTGAGGCCAATGCCCATTTCAAAAGAAGGACAATGGGCACACTTAGTGGCAGATTCCTCAAGGAGACCAAGGGCTGGGCGAGCAAGACCTCAGCAGCACTCCCAAACAGATAGGAGTAGAGAAAACTTGACATCTATCTCCTATGGATGCCTGAAACAGAAGCTGCCAGCATCAATGCTCCCTCTCACAGCATCAGTCCGACCGTGCAAGAAAGCTGCAGCATTCTCTAAAAAGTTACAGGGGAAATGAGGTTAAGCCAGCTAATTGACAACACTGACCTTTCTGGCTCAGTGTTAGCACAGCCACCAAAACAGAAGCAACTGCAGCTGAAGTCGATAGGGAGTCAGCTCTTTTTTACCTTTTTGGTTTTTGTTTTTCAGCGCTCTTCCTGCCAAAGTTTAAACTTTGGGTCAACGCTAAAAACTGCTTGCTGACATAAGCTGCAAAAGAGCTTTCTCAGAAGAAAATGAACTTAAGGCAGCACGAAATGCTGCGTCCTCACTTGAGGGAAAAGGCAATTACATTGATCCCATGCTCCAACACCTAAACAACAAAGACGCCTCAGTAACACGCTGTCACCCACGCCAGGAGATGTTTAAATTTCAGCAGATATTTGGTCTGAATTGAAAGACAAACAAACCCCACATCCTCCCAGCCCTGCCCCGATGAACCAGGTGTTCTTCCTATCCCATTTTCTTCCTCTGTGAGCAAGAAACCTGCAGTCACGGCCTCAAGCACGGCAGTGAGTCTCCAGTAAACGTTCCTTTAACCCAAGCTTTAGGAAATAGACACAGTCAGACCCTCAGCTGCACAAGAGCCTCTCGCTTAACCTGCAAAGGTGCTTTGGAAAATTATTCCTCAGCATCTCCACTGCGTTTTGAAGCCTGACCCTTCGGAGCCCACACCTGAAAGCCAGGCTCAGCCTGGTCAGGGGCAACAGCCACAACCAGCGGCCAGGTCCTCTACGTGCTGCTATCGTGAGATGGGTCACGCACAAGATGCTGTCCCCACATCAGACCCCGTGCAGCCCGTCGGTGTGGATCCCACAGACGTGTGCAGACTTACTGGGGCTCTCTGCAGACAAGCTGATCCCACACAAGGCTCTATTTTAAGCCTGAGCACTAACCGCTGCGCGGCCGCGGCCCCCCGCGCTCCAGCAGCCAGCTGTCACTCCGTGTCCCCTCGGCAGCCTGAAATCATCGCCTGGTGGGATGTGATCCCCTTGCTGGATTTCCTAGAAGTTCACTAACTGCCAAAGACACGCACAGCTCTGTTTTCATTTCCTTCAGCACACCAGCGCTGTGCAAAACCCAGCAGCCTCCCCTCGAGCATTGCGGGAGCTGTGGTGGGGAGGGGGAAGCAGTGGGACCGCGTCGTGTCCCCAAGGCCAAGTTCTGTCCCTGCAGGCTCCCAGCACCATCCCCTGCCCCGAGAGCAAGGCAAAAGCCACCGCTGAGAGCCTGAGGTCAGCCGGCACCAGGACGTGCCCAACAGCCCCTTATTATGGTAAAAACTCAGCTACCAGCATTAACCACAGCCAGCAGCAGCTAAACTTATCGCTAGGACGACAACAACAACAAAAAAAACACGCCTCGTTGCAGCAACCCGCTGCTATCATCCCCGAGAGCTCCAGCACCCTTCCTCCACCCATTTCTTCAGAAAGGGGTGGAAAATAAAAAGTTAAAAAAAAATCAGAGCCTCGGGCTCTCCGGATTTAAACGCGGTGCATCCTCAGCACCGCCCGAGCCGTGCTGGGACCGCTCGGGGCGTTTGCAGCGGGGGCCGGGGATCCCCGCGCCCCCCTCCTTGGGGACGCTTCGTGGGGGCTCCTAAAAACCCGGCGGGGGTCGTCGTCGCCTCCCCCCCCAACCTCCCGGGGGGTTTGTCCCGTCCCCGCTCGGGGTCCAAAAGCGTGAGACAAGGCGGCTGGGGTGCGGCGGTTCTTCTTTTGGAGGAGGGAGGGAAGTCTTGAAAGTGCTCCGAAAGCAACTTCGCCTTCCCCCAGCGGTGCTGCCAGGCAGCGCCTCTCCCCTGCAGCTCGCGGGTCCCCTTCGCAAGGACCCCCCCCAAAAAAAACAAAAAAAACACAGATCTCCATCCCCCCCGGCCTCCCCGGGCGCTGAAGCGGGGAGGCGAGAAGGGATTCCCGCAGCCCCCGGGGGCAGCAGGGCGCTTACCGGCGGACGGGAAGAGATCGATGTCCACCTTCTCCGTCTTGATGATGGTCAGGGTGGGCTTCAGGTCCACCGCCGCCTTCATGGCTGGGGCTGGGGCTGGGACCGGGACCAGGACCGGGAGCGGGGGGCGGCTGCTGCGCCCCGCCGTGCGCGGAGCGGGGCGCCCGGGCGCCTGCTTCCTCCTCCTCCCTCCTCTTCCTCGCCTTCCTCCTCCTCCTCCTCCTCCTCTTCCTCCTCCTTCCCCTGCGCCTTCGCTCCCCTCTCTCCCCTCTCCTCCGCTCCGCTCCTCGCCGCTCGGCTCCGCTCCGCCTCGCCCCCCCGCCGCCGCCGCCGCCGCCGCCCCGGCCCGGGCTGAGCCGCCGAGGGGAGGGCGCTGGGGGCCGGCCCCGAGCGGTGACAGCGGCGGGGAGGGACCCGCCTGGCCCTCCCCTCCCCTGCCCTGCCCTGCCTCTGCCCCTGTCCTGCCCCGGCCCCCGCCCCGGAGGCGGCCCCGGCTCGGTGGGGAGCGGAGCGGGGCCGGGGGGCGAGCAGCGGGGCTGAGGCCACCCCCCGGTCCCAGCAGGAACGAGGGCTCGGGTGGCGATCCCCGCCCCTGTCCCCTCCGTGGGTGCTGCCCCCGCTTCTGGGTGCTGCCGGCCGCCCCCCTCCCACCCACGGGTGCGCCCCGGGCCGCGGTGGTCCGGGGGGGATTCAGGGCACACACGGTGCCGGGGGAGGCAAAGCGAAGTTTGGGAAGCAAACGGGGCAAAAACGCTCCTAGAGATGCGCGATGAGCATCGTGCCGGCGGGCCGGGAGCTTAACAGAAGAATATCGGTTTTCACACAAAATATGTTTTATTATATTTAGGTAGCAAAAAACTTCAGACCACAAACGGCAGAGCAGAAAGGAGATTATGACTCACAGATGGCAATTTACCGGTACAAGTGTAAAAAAAAAAAAAAAGAAAAAAAAAAAAGACATTAGCAACCAGCGTTTGTGGTTCTCTCACTCACAAAGTCTCAACAGCCTCTGAGACGCTGGCAGGGACCAGCTCTGATCAAAGCTGGGCTCAGGGGAACGTCCCAGCTGTAACGGGGCGATCGGGGCCCAGTGCGTCAGCGGCCGGGCTTTGGGGCCGCCTGCACCCCCAGCAGGAGCCAGGGTCCCACTTGCAAGCACAATAGAAACCTTCAAACATAGAGATTGGCTGCGGATGCAAATGTTACAGCTCAGAATTATTTCTAGCTGCTTCAGAGCAGCCTTTCTCATTCGCCTGAGGCGTATTTATAGAAGAAAAGTCAGTGTAACTAAAGGAAGCTGTGAGGTGCGGGGCCAGAAAGTGAGAGCCTGATGCTAGCCGCCGCTTTTACCTAAGCAGATCACTCAGGATGCTCTAATTCTGGCAAGGCCAGGGGGGCAGCTTGCTCCAGGTGCCTCACCTGCTCACTAGCACTTGTATTTCCAATTTTACAGGCAACTCTGTTTCCCAGTCACCATCCACTTGCAAGTTCAGTTCCTCATTCTTACAGAAAACCAGCGGCAGCAGGGTAGGACCAGTGATTCACCGTGTGACCAGTACACAACCGCTCCCCACGGATCCCTGCATGCTTTGGGGAACCTCTGAGCTGTGCTCGGTGCAGCAGGCAGGGCACAAGGCTGAGCATCCCTGTTTGGAACCCACCACAGGAAGCTGAGAGTGCAAAGAGGATGGCTGCAAGAGTAAAGAGTGGTCCCCACTGCCTCTCCCCATGCAGGATAAAGGGCTTGCACCTGTCCTGTGTTTGTTTTTTTCCCCTCTTCCCCATACACGATGGACAGCAGTGACTGAAGGAAGAGACTGCAGAGAGGAGGCTGAGCAGAACGTTTCTCGTTCAAAACCAAAAGGGGATTCAGAAGCAGCAGCTGCCTCTCTGTAGGCGCCCTTCCAGAGCAGCTTGGGAAGAGAAACCTGAGGCAGCGATCGCAGCCTGAGGGCCCTTCCTTTCCCTTCCCTTCCTTTCCCTTCCCACACTTCTCTCGGAGCGCTGTGAGCACCAGGTCCCCGCTCAGGCAGGCTGCGGTGCGCGGCGGGGAGCGGGGCCGGGCTGGGAGGGCGCGGGGGGCCCAGCTACGCAGCTGGCTGCGGCGGCGAAGCCATCAGAAAGCACCTGCGGTCCCAACCGTATTGAAATGACCCAACTGCTCCCCCGGCTCGGTGGTGCTCGGTAATCCTCGCTGCTCAGAGCGAGCGCAGCCTCCTGCAGCAAACCACAGTCCCCAGACACACACACAAGACGAGGCACGCAGCGAGGCCGCAGTGTCGCGCCCAAGCTGATAGGGACAAGCTGCTGACACGGTGCAGGAGAAGGTTCCCACCAGCAGAGACGGTCCCGCATGGAGCAGAGTAGCCACTGATTATAAAAATTAAAAATTAAGATTTAAAAAAAAGATTAAAAATCTGCACCAGAGGCTTCAGCTGCCTCCCCAGTGCCTGCGCTTCAGCCCTGCTCCCGTGGGCTGATGTGTTTGGCTCGGCCTCGCCTCTGAGTGTTACAGTCCTAAGGACTGGCTCGAGTCCAATGCACCTGTAATGAGGCTCCTTCTCTTCTGGACCAGTACAAAGGCTCTAATAAAGACCTTTCTTGCAGCTTGTGTGTTTTTTATTAGAGAAGATACACACACTCTTGGCATGCCGGCTCAGCACTGATCCCGCAAAGCTGATGACATGAAGCCACAGCTTGGTGCAGCATGGCTGCGGCGAGGCTTTGAGCTCCTCCACTCCCCCGCCTCGCCCCCACCCCTGCTCCCCAAATTTCTGTTTCGTCTTACTCCTGCGATGCACAGCCCCCCCTCCCTGCAGGACCAGGAGAACATTTCCAGAAGCACCTCTGGGGCAAAAGAAGTCAAAGTGGAGGAAAGAAGAGGGAAAAGAATGGAGAGGCTGTGGACAGAAATTTCCTCCCAGGGCAGCTGAATCTCTCCTTCGAACTCAACTCCGTCCTAGCGGCTGCCTTAATTTGTGTTCACTTCAGAGCCTGCAACATGAAAGCCCTGGCTCTGAACTCCAGCTGAGCCGCTCAATGGCTCAGTGTTCGCAGAAGGCATGGAAGGAATCCATTGATTAGTTTCTTCAGCTGGGATGTGACCATTTGGAGTCCAAGACCTGCCAAACATGACTTCGCCTCAGCAACTGGTTCCTATTTGCTGCTTACAGCCTTCAGAAAAATCTTTCCTCTTCAACATCCAAGTCTCACCCTCCTTTTCCACTCTGTCGTTATTCACCATTAATATCTATTCGTGCTCTCTCCTGTTGAGGGAGGGTGCTGGATTGTGGACAACAGCCCTCCTGCCATTAATATAGTCAAAAGATCTTGCCGTTGATCGGAGATAACCATCTGCCCTCTCTCCACAATGCAGTCTGATTGTTTTTCAACAGTTTGGAACAAAGAAAGGACAGGCAATAATGCCACATTGTTCCCAGGGACGCTGACTAACCTTGGTCTAAAAGAATAATAATAATTATTCATTTAGCACCGAGAAAA